CAGGTGCAGTCGTGGCTAGTAGCGAAATACGCCAGCCCGGATCCACCCCACTCACCTTCAGCGGACACGACGCGCCTGTCACACAAGTGGCACGATCAAGAGACGGTGTCGTGGGGATATTGACGAAAAGGCGTGCCTGCTGGCTCGCACGTTCTTGTGCAAACGCCTGAGCTGTGATCATGGAGGACTCTGTGATGGTCACGGGGTCTGTGTACTCCTTCATGTCAGTGGCGTCTCCGATGACGTACTTGATGGTGGCTCCATTGGTTGCGGAGGTCATGGTCACCCTCTGCGTAAGGGCTATGGGATTGTCTACTGTCAAAACGGGTGCCTCGACGAAGATGGGGTGATCATATGTGTAGCCTAACTCGCCGTCCGCACTGGACGCCGGGGTTAGACTCAGCCACATGGAAGGTGGTAGGTCGCCACCACAACACGGCACAAAGTGACGCTCGGGTATATCGTCGTCCTCCTCACCCCAGCTGGGAGCTTCACCACCGTGCGCCTCTCGCCAACTCTGGCATATTGACGTTTCATTGCCACCGTCCTTCGACACCTGCACCCATCCATTCCGCTGGGTGACAACGGGGACGAAAGTGGAGCCCCCGGAAACAGGTATCACGCCCGGGCGTCCGACACCAAGCGGACATACGGCATGATATGTACACAGCTGCAGACCACCATTCGCAGCACAGAAAGCATTTGCCTTTGTCCAAGTCACTGTGCCATTCTTCGTGTCAAGCAAGTGAAATGAGTCGTTCGCCCTCAGCTTGACTATTAGCTGATGCCAGCCCTCTGTCAGCGCCACATCGTGATGACCCTCCCCGGACCAAGTAACAGCTGCCGATCCAAAAGCCTTACCATCCAGCCACATCGCGTAGCCCCCGTGGAAGACAATACGTACCGCCACCTGCATCTGATTTGTGGCATACAGCGCGAGAGACCAGTACTGATTAAAGTTCCCGCCAAAGGCGCGGCGCCCCCAGAGACCATCTGTGCTCGTACCTGCAACCCACCGGTATTGGCGCTCTATCCCCAGCGTCCAGACGTTCTGCGTTGAGAGCAGGCCGGGTGTGTAGGATGGGTCTATAGGGATGTCAGCAAATGTCTCGCTGGCTGTGGTTAAATTGGACGGATCCAACGGGATCGCACCCTCCCCAGATTTGTCACCAACCAACTCCATCAGTGCCGAGAGAGGGACGCCTGGGCGAATAGGGGAGAGGCCGAGGGGCAAACTGGTACCGGGGAACATTGCACCCGCGAGGCGATAGTTGTCGCAGTGAATGAAACTGTTGAAAGACCAAGACTGACCCTTCACAGCGACAATGCGTACAATCGTCTCATGCCATCCCTTCGAAAGAGGTGTAGCGACACTCTCGTTCAAGCTTCCTCCCTCGCTCCCGCGGCTGTACACAGAAACACCATCGAGAAAAAAATCCGTCTTTCCTGAAGTAATAAAGGACCAACTCACAGGTATTACGTCATCGTAACCACTGTAAACGGCGAACGCACCATACACCACAGCGGCCTCTTTACCCTCCGGTAGGTTTTGTGCCGAGACGGGAAGTCTCCCTGCGTAGAATCTCACTTCTTTCCAGATCTTGTTTTCCAGTATTTCACCGGGTTTTGGGACAGCTGTACGCATGTCGAGAAATTCCTCATCGAGGCCGCCATAAAGATAATCTTCCCTGCCTCCCAAGTGGAGATAGGACGAAGTGTAAAAGTTGCTCCACAGTTCGAAAGCGCCTTCTGGAATATCTGCCGTGACGGCGTGAGTGTATCCCACTGCCGTGCCCACCACGCGCAGCCAGAACTTCGAGACGGTTGTGCAACTCTGGGGACTCGACTCTGTGGTGCCGTCGGAAAACAGCTTGGCAAGAAGTTGGTGGTAGCCCTGCGTTACGTCGACAGAAAA